ATGAACATCATCCTTCAGGAGGCCAAGGTCAAAACTGATTGAGAACTGTTGTCCTCCGTTTTGCCAAACCACGCTGCTTATGATTACGTATAGTTTGCACTTTCTTTCCCCTGTACTTAACTAACTGACACTGAGATACCTTTCTGTCTCTACCTGGCAATTTTTTTCTTTGTTCTTCAACTTGAACTCTACCTCCTTCATGAAGCCTTCTCTACTTTTTCAAAGTAGATATGATATCTCCTTTTTATGAGCCCCCAGAGTATTTTACTTAGGATTCTTATGTTCAACCGTGCATTATATATTTTTCTAAATATTTTTTATTGATTTTAGAGAGAGGAAAGGAGAGAGAGAGAGAGAGAGAGAGAGAGAGAGAGAGACATTGATGAGAGAGAACATCGACTGGCCACTTCCTGCATGCCCTCTACTGGGGATCAGGCCCACAACCGTGCCCCCTTGGTGCATGGGTTGATGCTCAACCACTGAGTCACACTGGCCAGGCCAACCTTGCATTATATTTTTTAAAATTTTGCACCTGTCATATCCCCATATAGATAATAAGCAGAAAGAAAGCTTTTTTTTTTCAGAAATCTCTCTATTTCACTGGGCTGAATACATGGGAGGCCCTTCATGATCTGGCTTCTTCTAGACACATTGTCACGTCTTTCTTCAGTTGGCCCTTTGCCGTCTTTGCTCCTATCATACCAAACATCTTGGCGTGTCCTCAACTCCATTTGCTCTCTCTTATCTCCAGGCCTTTGCATGTGCCATGCCTTCTTGCCTGGTGAGATAGAGTGTCACAAGGGCCACAGTTCTCCACCCTCCCTGAGCCCACACCTTCTGCAATGTGACTTCCTATCAAGAGGTGGAGACCAATTTTCCTCCCCTTGAAGCTGGGCTGCCCTGGGACTTGCTTCAACACAGTGCAGTGGAAGTTACTGTGTGAAGTTCCGAGTCTAATCCTCAGAAAGGCTTGTGTGTTTCCACTCGTTCCCGTGGAAAGTTCCCCAGCTGCCATGGGAACAACTCTGGGCTAGCCTGCTGGAACCTGAGAGACTATGGGGACAGAGGTGAGCTGTCCCCGCAGAGGCTAACCTATACCAGCAGCTCCCAACCAAGCCCCAATCAACCCAACCTCTCTGTTGATGCATTAACAAGTCCCAGCTCAGCAGGACTGTTCAGCTGGGCCCAGCTGAATGGCTAACCTACAGAGTCATGAGTTAAGCAAGTTGTTATTTTAAGTTAATAAGTTTGGAATGGTTTGTTTTCGCAGTCAAAGCTAACTGACCTATTCGCTCAGTGCTACTCTTCGGGCCTTAACTGAAATATTATTTCTTTGGCAAAACCACTTCTGACCTCCTTCAAGTCTGGGTTAGGGTTCTCTGCTATGTACCACAGAGGCATAAATAGCCCAGTATTATCATCACTTGGAAATTATCTCTGTCATACGTTAGATTTGTAAGATTTTTGAAGGCAGAAGTTTTGTTGTATGAACTATTTCCTTTAGGTCTAGCATAGTATCTGGTACTCCATAGACACTTAGAAAGTATTTCTGAATGAAGCAGCGGATTAAATCAGAGGCAGCAACTTGTGGCCTGGTTATGTTTAGTTTGTCACACATAGTGTTGACCTAAATGATAAAAAAAAAAAAGTTTTTTTTTTAACTGTTTGCCTACCTTTGAAAATCAAAACATTTAAGATAAATACCTATCTTACGGACTTTTCATTTAAAAAAAGGAAATATTTGTCAACATTGGGCTTTCATTCCCTCTCGGCACCAAGGAGCAGTGGCTGTCGCCTTTAGATGGGCACACACCTTCTGGCTGTGACAGTCCTCACTGACCTCTCTTGTCTCAACACCCACTGCCACTTGTCATCACATTGGTGGCTCTGTTGCAGACATCTGGAAACTTCCCTCAGCTCTGCTTGCGGTAAAGCACCCACATTCAAGAGAGTGGTGATGAGTGTCTCGCGCTTACTCATTTCTGCCTTCTGATGATGTGATGTAGGCAGCCTCTCTCTTCCTGGGTGAGATTTTAAGCATTGTTTGTGGTCTTATTTTTCTCCTCTACGAATCAAGTTGTTTTTTTTTTTAAATCCCTGCTAAGGGTTTTCAAGGATCATTTGGCTTATAACTTGCCTAAATTAGAGAAAGACGGTTCTGTGTTTTTGTGTGTTTTTTTTCTCATAATTCAGTTTCTTTGTGGTAGAAACTGTGGTTTGGCTGGGAGGCTTATCAGGAACATCATGCCAGTTTTCTGATTATTGTTTCCTTTCAAAGGTGTTATAAGAGTCTACATACAATCTATTGGTAGCCTGTCTCTTTCATGATGGATTGAAGCAATATTTTTAGCAGTATGAGGTGAGATTGAAGGGCTTATTTTACTTTACTTTATTTTATTTTATTTTATTTATTCTCACCCAAGGACATTTTTCCATTTTTTGTTCAGATAGAGTGAGAGGGAGAGAGAGGAAGAGAGAGAGAGAGAGAAACATCGACATGAAAGGGACACATTGAGTGGCTGCCACCTGCATGACCAACAAGGGCCGGGGACAAACTGCAACTGAGGTATGCGCCCCTAGCGGGAACTGAACCCAGGACTCTCTGGTCCCCAGGTCAATGCTCCAACCGCTGAGCCAAACTGGCCAGGGCAAGGGCTTTTTTTTTCAATGACTACTCATTCTACCTTTAAGGCTTATAACTCGATGATTGGGTCTTTGAAGAAAGAACTCACTCCAACAATTCATAATTCCAGATCTTACAAAGAAACTCACCAAGGTGGGGTATGTTCAGCTGGAATGCATTGATACAGGTATACCAGTTGTTTACTCCGGCTTCTAGTCTAAGTAGTCAGTGCCCAGGCTGAATCAGTAGTTAAACCTTTTGAACCTATCAGTCCTGAAATTGATACATTGGAATGGAAAATATGCTAGTCTTCAATCATGTCCTTACCTTTGGACTAGTTTATGAGGCAACAGGTGTAATAACTTGGTCACAGCTCTATGCCATCTGGTGCTATCAATTCTCTTATGTAAATACCAATATAATTATCTAATTCAGAAGAATCTGTATCTCTTATGGGACATCCAAGGTTCAGCTTCCCTGAATGTGAAAAAGCAGCTCAGCCTGTTTTCTCATTAGTGAAATGAATAAGCAGGTGGAACTTGGTTCTGTTCTATTAGTCTCAACTAAAGTAGTTGATGCCTCATTATTTCTACATGTCCCCATATGATCATACCACTGACTTGTGGGCTCAACCAAGATGGAGTCTGAAGTGAGCAGAGTCTGTCTCTCATAGCCATGGGAAGAAACAGATGCTCTATCTTCAGTAGTGGGTATTCTTCATTTGACGACGCCTAAGAATGGACTCGCAGATTTCATACCTCCTTTTTAAGCCTAGTTGGAGAATTAAAGTATTTTTCCATGTCTCCTTTTTATATTCTACATTCATCCTTTAAAAAAAATTAGCTTTTACTGCAAATCTAATACATAATTATTGCAGACAAATTTAAATATGGTTACGTAACATGCAGAAAATAAAAGTTCCCAAATCCCACCTTAACAAAACACTGTAGCATCTTAACATGGATTAGTCTAGTTATATCTTTGTCTCTGTCTCCCTCTTTACATTTTTGACAGCGTTAAAACATGGAGTTCTTTCTTTTAAATGCTGAACTTGAAAATAGAAAATCTTGGAGGAAAATGATTTCAAATGTTTTACATTCTTCTGCTGTCTTAGGAATTGTTAAACAAAGATGACTCAGATTGTCACTCTGACCACTGGTTATTGTCATGGACTGGGTCATTTTCATTTGAGTCTCTTTCAGCTATAACTTTTGCTCCTTGTATGCCTGGAGTATTTTAATTTTCAGTGACTGAAAGAAAAAGACCAGTTGGTCAGAACTGTATGTAAATTAAGTCACTAAGCTGTACATGGACCTAAGAATCTTTCCTGTGGTACAAAATGCATGGACTTTATTCAATAAGTGTCTGGGATTTTTAATATTTATTTCTCATTTTTAACTATGTCTTAGAGTTGAGATTGCATGAAATGTGATCTCTGAATGAGAGAGATTTTAGTATATTTTGAAATGTAATGTTAAGCACCTTTTCATGTACCTCTTTGCCATTTGAATGTCTTCTTTGGAAAAAAAAAAAAATGTCTATTTAGTTCCTCCACTCAGTTTTTAATGCGGTTGCTTGTGTTTTGGCTATTGATTTGCATGAGATCTTTATATATTTTGGATAGAAACCCCTTATCTGACATATTGTTCGCACATATTTTCTTCCGTTCTGTATATTGCATTTTTATTTTAATTGTTTCCTTGGCTGTGCAGAAACTTTTTAGTCTGATTTAGTCCTACTTGTTGATTTCTACTTCTGTTGCTCATGCTTTTTGTCATGTCCAAAAACTCATTGCCAAGGCCAATGTCAAGGAGTTTCTTTCCTATGTTTTCTTTTAGGAATTTCACAGTTTCAGTTCTTATGTTTAAGTTTTTTATGCATTTTGAGTTAATTTTTGTGGGAGGTATAAGAGAGGGGTCAAGTTGAATCTTTCTGCTCTGGTTATCCAGAAATAAAACCATTTGCTCTGTGGAATTTACTGAACTGAAAGAAATTGTAGAAGATTTATAATTTACTAAGGAGTCATCTTCATTAACTGGTGTTAATCAGGTGCCTATGTTAATGAGGGTGGGTTGGAGCTTGCTGAGGTAACAAAACAAAACAAAACAAAACCCCTCTCAATCTTAGTTGCTTAACACATAAGCCTTTATTTCTTGTTTATGCAAAGTATACTTCTGGTCTGATGAGTCCCTGAGGTAGATTTCTTCGAAGTGGTGACTCAGGGATCTTATAACCTATCATCTGGGACGTGAAGTTATCAGGGTCACCACGGCCGAGGAAGAGAGATCACGAAGAGCTCACACCCCCTCACAAATGCCTCCACATTAAAATGCTTCAGTCCTGGAGTGACACACAGCACTGTCACACACAACCCAGTGACCAGTACCTGTCCGGCAGCTGGATGCCCTTCCGGTATGCCCCGAAGGAGTGGAGGACCAGAGGTGGATGAGCACTGCGCGTCTCCCAGTGACCTTGGGCAGGTAACTTGACTCTCTCTCTCTGACGGTTGAACGAGAGGGCTCCGAAGGCATATGGTCTGGTCTGGAATCCAGCTGGGTCTCACTGGCAGTGTCACCTTTGGCTATTTGTTTTACTTCTCTATGACTCACTTGTGTTGTTTGCTTTTTTAATTCAGATGTGAAGTGGGGATAGGAGTAGTACCATCCTTATGGGATTCCTTAAGTATTAAAAGTGAATTCAGCCCTGGCCAGTTTGGCTCAGCGGTTAGAGCATCGGCCTGCGGTCTGGAGAGACCCGGGTTCGGTTCCCGCTAAGGGCACGTACCTCGGTTGCAGTTTGTCCACGGCCCTGATTGGTCGTGCGGGTGGCAGCCACTCGATGTGTCTCTTTCACATCGATGTTTCTTTCTCTCTCTCTCTCTCTCTTCCTCTCTCTCCCTCCCACTCTATCTGTGCAAAAAATGGAAAAATGTCCTCAAGTGAGGATAAAAAAAAAAAAAAAAAAGTGAATTCATATCATATTATTATAACAATGTCTGAAACACACTAAGAGTTCCATAAGTTTGTTTTATTTTGTTGTTTTTAAAAAGATGGCTATCCTTCTTGCTCTGGCTTGATACATGTCTACAGAGTAATAGCTCAGTAAGTTGTTGTCTTTCATATCTTGGCATGATTAGCTAGCCCAACCCATGCGAGTCTCTTTAATTTACTGACCCATTAAATGGAGTCACAAACAGTGCCTGCAGGTGATTTAGGTCTTTGCCCGAGACCACCAACTCTTTTGTACCCGTGCCTCATCTGCTTTAGCTCAGATTCCATCCCTGCCTGACCCTTTTATGGCTCTGTATTCGAGTCGGATCCTGCCTTTGGTTCCTGCTGGTTTCCACGCACCACTGACATCGAGCTTTATCTCATGGGCTGGCTCCCTGGATTCCTGGGGAAGCCACTAACCTCGGGCAGCAACTCCATCCTCTAACCTCATCCCCTCAGGACCCAAAACCTGCCTCAGCTTTTGGTTCGCACCAAGGCTTGGTCCTGGCCTTCACACAGTGGAGAGAGCATCAGACAGACAACCCCTCTCGTTTCACTGGCTGTACCTTTTGAGTGTGGGTATGTCAGGTGCCACCCCACCCTTATCACCATCCAAAATCAATGACAAACCCCGGATGTTACGTCTTCCTGCAGGCAGTTATATCTTCAGGTAGATGCATATGAGCAAGAACTTTTTTCTTTTCCTCCTGGAATCTTAAGTGGATCGTCCTTGGGAATGAGCCGAACGTACTGCAGCAAGAGAGAAGGTGAGAAAAGAAGTGAATTTACTCTCCAGTATGAGGATGTTCTGGTCCCCTTCCCTTTTCTCCTTTTGGCTGATCTAGTGGGGGATCCTTTGTGAACAGCTGCCAGTACATTCTCATCAAGCACTGTTGTTCTTCCTCGGGCTTGGTTCTGCCCAGTAAAAACAAGACAATATGCTTTCATGTCAGGCTCCACTCAAGTCATCTTTTCCCCATTGACCAGAGAGAACATTGAGTCAGGCCGGACTGTGACACAGGCAAATCGCTTTCGGCTTCTCATGGTCCTTCTCCAAGTTCTATCAATGGACAATGTGGTGGTCTTCCCACAGTGCACAGTACAGGTGGGAGATGCTACGCTTCTAAGACTTACACAGAGGGGAAGAATTACATCAAACGATATTGTCACCCTGTCCCTGAAATAATGACAAATGCAGCTGCAGCTTGCTTTCCTCCAATCTGCCTTTGTCATCTTGTATGGCAAACAGGTCAAACTTGTCACTTCCAAACACAATAAATTCTTATCTATGGTTTTGGAAAAAGATAAATCATGAGAGGATAATTTCCAAATATTCTGCAAAGATTCTATAGTTCTAACAGTAGAGAAGTAGGGGAATTGTGCAATTCCAATTTTTTTTTTTTTAATTCTCACCTGAGAATATGTTTTTATTGATTTTAGAGAGAGAGAAAGGTGACAGAGAAACAGAGATTGGTTGCCAACTGTGCATGCCTCCACTGGGGATCCAACCCAAAACCTAGGTATGTGCCCTGATGGGGAACTGAACCCACAACTCTTTTGGTGTGTGGATAACACTCTAACTAACTGAACCACCTGTCCAGGGCTGCAATTCTAATTTTATCTAAGTTTCAAGCCCTTTGGATGTTTTGAAATAGCAAAACACACTCTTTTTCCTAAGGCTGAATTTGTCAACCTTTAATAGGGAGAACTTTTGAACAAAGCATGAGAAATACACCAAGATCAGAACCATGCTATAAGGTTTAAAATGCATGAACCCTACCACCCTTGGGCATCCACATTCAGCCTAATTAATATAATAACTCATCCACATGTTGTAGAGTTAGCAAAGCATTAAACACACACACACACATACACACACGCACACACACACATTGTCTATGTGAATCTTTAGTTTGTTTGCATTTTTGCAATGAGGAAAATGAAGGCCACTGCAAAAGAAACCTCAATCTTCAGATTCCAAATTCTAGGCCTTCCATAACCTCAGTCTCTCTCTCTCTCTCTCTCTCTCTCTCTCTCTCTCTCTCTCTCTCTCTCTGTCATTTTGTCCTTTGTGTTGAAGGCAGGACTGGGATAAATTGGGGAGAAACTCTGTAGCCCTCGGGTAGTTTCTCTCTCCTGTCCTCCGACAAAAGCAGAGCTGTCGGGATTGCTGAGGACATGGACTCTGTAAGTCCCCAGGGGGAAGAAGAGCCCGGTACACTCCTCTGCTGTGCCCCATCTTCCTTCCAGGCTGGCCACTGTGGGCAGGGGCACCCCCACAGAATGAACGTGGGCTCCCCCCTGCAGTGAAGCACATCGCCTAGTCCCATTCTCAGGCTCATCATATGACAGGTGTAGGAGGGTGTAATAAGAAACATTCTCTCCGGCTTGGAACAGAAGGGACTCTGTTCTTTCATTTATTGCTTGTCTGTCGTTTGAGGTCAACATTCAGCTAAGACCAATGAAAAGATTCTATAAATAGGCATCTGATGATGGGACTACTTGGGGGTTCAAAGGAACTTTTAAATCCTTTACAAAACCCATGAGGTGGTAAGGTACCGCTATGGTAGCCCTGTGATGTACTTAAAACTAACTTCTTTTTGGACCTCGTGAAAATTTATTGTGCCAGACTGCTCATCACTGTTAACTCTAAAATGTTCCCAGAGGCAGCTAGGCATACACAGGGTCCAGGGGTTGGAAAGCATATCCTCCCCAAAGGGAGGTCCAATGCTCACTTTTGTGAGGTTTAGCTTGGGTGGGCTCTTAGTTGGAGGTAACAGAATCCACTCCAACTAGCTTAAGAAAGAGATTTGTTAGTGGATAGAAATAACTTGCAGAATCTTTGTGAAGGCCGAAGACAGAGAATTGAGATTGAGCTTCTAGAAACAACTTCCCAACTTCAACTGCAAACTGAGCTGCTAAGGGATGGGCTGCCTTGGCCATGGTCATCTAGAAGCGGCCACCAAGCTGTCAGCAGAGTCTTGCTGTCCTGATCCAAACCAGTAAAATCTATGTCCCAGGCCCCGCTTCTCTTCCCAAGTGGCTCAGTGCTGAGTCAGAGTCTCACACGAGGGCTTCGGAAAGGCAGAGCCTCAACACATCTGGAACTCTAGGCAAATGAGGGTCCAGGCTCTGCACACTAGATGGGTTTAAAAAGAGTGTGGAGTGAGGCAGTCTGCAGCATCTTCCACAGTGGCTTCAACCCCCTCTCTCCTGCCCACCGGCACAGTAAAGAACACAGCTTACTTCCCATCCATCTGTCCATCAGCCATCCACTTATATATCCATCCATCCATCCATCCATCCATCCATCCATCCATCCATCCGATTTTTGCACTTCTGGTATTTTATTTTTATTGGTTTCAGGATGTATAAAAAAGATAAGGATTTAAAAAATATATATATATATAATTGCAATATCATTATTACACTAACATTGAAAACAATAATCCCGTAATATCATCAAATAACCAGTCAGTGTTCAAATTTTCCCAATTGTCTCATAATATAAAAAATAACAACAAAAACAATTTTTTTTAATCAAGTTCCAAATAGTGATGGTCTGGGGCTTACTGTATACAGTGGGTTGATGTCTCTTCAGCCCCTTTTAATCTATAGCTTTCCTCTCCTTTCTTCTTCTTCCTGGTCCCTCTCTTCCCTCTGTCTTTCTCTCCCCTCCAGTCTTTCTCCTCCTCCTATTTTTCTTCGCCACCTTCTTCTCTTTCTCTCCCTCTCTACTTCCAATGTATTTTTAAAGAAACTGGCTCATTTGTCTCAGAGAGTCTCTCACAGTCTGGATTTTGCTTCCTGTATCTCGGTATTACCCTCTAACATATTCCATGGTCTTTTGTATTTCCTATAAAGAGGCACTTATATCTAGAGGTCGGATCAATTATTTGGGATTCAATTAGAATACGTGAGAGTTGAGGTTGTGTATATCCCTCAGAGGCTTAGTATCAGGTTGTTTTTGATGGTCGTTGCCTTGACCCCTCATTTCATTAGGGGTTTGCCAAACATTTAGATTCTAAGTCCATCCTTCCATCCTCATTCATCAACTGGAATAATTTGTGAGAAACTGTCCCTCATCAACGAGTTGGCTTTCCCAAGATACTTTTAGGCAGAGTACACTTTTTATTTCTGCCTCCTCAACTTTTATTCCTTGCCAGTGTTTAGAAAAACAAATGAATTTCTTAGCATCTTATAAAGTTAATCAATGAGGATTTTTTAAAGTGTCATCATGACGTCATGGATTTACAGAAATTTGATTCTCTTTAATCTATTGCAGTTGTTTTTTTTTTGTTTTTTTTTTTTTTTTTTTTTAATTGCTACCCAAATTGAGCCATTTTGGGCTAGTATGAAGCTCTAGTTCTTTCTGACACAATGTTTACCGTCTTGATGATTTCCTTGATTTCTGGTATGAAAAAATGTTTCAGGTTTGGTTCATGTATTTCCTCCCCCAGCCACTTCTTCAAAGATCTTTTGTTCCCTTTAGCAAGAAATAATAGTTAGAGACCTCACGATCTGAGTAGTGTGGGAAATACACCATGTTTTTAAAAAGTGATTTAATCTTCAATTATACTAGGAATTAAAGAACAAAAGATGATGCAACCACGGAGCACATGAAATTCGCATCAAGCCTTGAGTAAGGCGTATGTTAAATATGAAGAGAATGTGTGGGACTAATGACTATTGGGTAATGGTTGAGCAGTTGGGGTTTTGGGAGAAACATTCCTTTGGCTTGAATACAGTTTGTGTTTCTTCTTAGTGGCCTTTACCTTGTGCGGGGCAGTTTCTTCTTCTGAAAGGGTTTTAAGAGGCAGAGGCTTTGCTTCACCATCTGCTGATGAGGAGTGAACACACGGGCCTGACCCCCCCAGAGGCTGCCATGCCAGGGCCCAGGTCGTGGTGATAGACACAGTAAGGGTTTGGTGAAAGGCAAGAGGTCTCATCTAGGAATCTGGAGACTTGGGCTCGCATCCTGGAATCACAGTTGCTGGATCATGCTTATTTTCAATCAGCCTTTCCCATGACCGTTCTGTCACCTGTGAAGTGGGTAGAATGTGTGTGCATGAGTGAGTGTCTGGGGTGGAGAGTAGAGAGGGATAGTTATCCTTATCCCAGCTAACAGGACTTATCAGAAGGCCATCCAGACAGAAATAAAACATACGTGTCAGCTAAAATGTTTGCTCCGATTATACCCTCCCCTCACCGCAAGGTAGTGTTGTACCTGGCTACAGGAGCCAGCTGTTTGGGCGGGCAGCAGAAGTCCCTCGGCCCGCCCTCTCCCTTCCACTGGCCCTGCCACAGTGCTTGGAGTCTTCTCTACTCTTCCCCTTAGTTTTCCAGACTGGGCCTTCGGGTGCTGTCTGGGTAAAGGGTGGCTTATGCTAGTATCATCCACTGAATCCCTGGTCAAAATGATCTTATCTGACCAGATATGCGGGTCACCCGGCACGTCTCATAGTGAATGAACACGGCCAGGCTCCTTTTTACGGGGAGGAAGATGTCTGGAGGGGTGTGGAAGAGACCACAGGGGCAGTTTGGGGGCCATCCCACTGCAAGGGAAAAGGATGGCCCGTCACCAGTGGTATCTGGTGTCTTGACAGCCTTGAGTTTAGTTTGGAGAACAATCTCCTCTTTGAATATGGTCTTGTTGGGACTTCTTAAGTAACCCTCCAGGGAAGGGGTAAGTACAGTGTCTGAGTTAGGCCACTGAGATGTTGTGTTTTGGGAATTAGATTCCGAGTAGAAAGCACAGCACAAAGACGCCGTGCTTGGAGGGACTCCATTCAGTGGTGATGCGCCGAAGGATCGCTCAGTAGCTCGCACCACTTAGCCCGGCGGAGCTGCCCTGACCTGGCCTTCCTGAGTGGGCCCGACTCTTCCATTTTCTTTGCTGTCCCCTGTGATTTGCTTCTCTCTCTCTCTCCCTCTGCCTTGTTAGCTCTATTTGGTCTTCATTGCTTGATACTAAATATTCTAACATAAAACAAAGATACACACAAAACTTGTCTAATATCACAATTTAATCTGTTCCCCTCTGTAGCAGCAAAGTAGCTAAGATATGTCACTGAGTGCTCTATCTGAAGGCATTTATATCTCTATGGTCTCTGCTTTTAAAAATATATGAATGTATTTGGCCTAATTCAGGAGAGAATGAAAATGAAGACCACATGGAAATGGCATTTCCCCCCTGTCACAGGGACAAGGGTCAAAGAGCCTGGACTGTCCTTTTAGTGGAGGCGTGCGGAACAAAGACTCTGCTACCTGCGGGCTCATCCCCTATGTGGGGTCACTTGTAAATATCAACACAACATTTTATTTTATTTTTTAATTTTAATCCTCACCCGAGGACATTTTTGCATTTATCTTCAGATAGAGCGGAGGGAGAGAGGGAGAAAGAGAGAGAGGGAAACATTGATGTGAGAGAGACACATTGAGTGGTTGCCACCCACACGACCCCAACCTGGGCTGGGGACAAATTGCAACCAAGGTATGTGCTCTTAGTGGGAACCGAACCCAGGCCTTTCTGGTCTGCAGGCCGATACTCTAACCACTGAGCCAACACAACATTTTAAATGCTCCCCTTTGGTCCCGCAATTTTGCTTCTAGGAACTTACAAATATATCACATAACCAGATATCATACAGTTATTACAATAAGGATGAGTGCTATATACATTCTATATATAGTTACATTCTCTACTCCACATTAAGTGAAGAAAAGCAGAATTATGCTGGTTGTATAAAAAATACATAGAAATATGCATACAATCATTTTTGGAAAGAGTCACAAAATGTGGGTGGTGGTTGCCTCTGGAACGGGGACATGGTGGCTGGAATAGGTTAGGGGAGGAAGCAATCCACTCTGTATTTTATTCTCGAATTCGGTGTTGCCTTAGCTTTGTTTTAATCATTGAGCTAATGAAAGGAGGAAGGGATGGGCCTTTGAGGGCTGGTCTCTCCACAAACTCTGCCAGCAATGAAGTGGCCTGTGTTATCTTCAAACTACTTCCTGGACAGCTTGAGTTTACTTGGAAAAACGGGGCTTTGGCCTATTTCTTACTCTTTTTGTCTCTTGTGGGTCGTTTAACTTCCTGCTGCTATACAGTATATATTCTCCAAGAGGAGGTAAGCATTTTATTTTCCCATTACAAAAGTACTACATGGCTATGACAGAAAATACTAAAAGTCAAAAGATGGAAAAAAAAAAAAAAACCAAAACACAAAAAACTCCACCCATAATCTTAACACCAAGTATTTACTTCTTAACATTTTTCTATACTTTCTTATAGTCTTTTTTGACTACACAAATGGGATCATATTTTTCATAAATTTAAAATAACCTAATATTGTCCTGGTCAGTTTGGCTCAGAGGTTAGAGCAGTGGCCCAAGGACTGAAGGGTCTCCAGTTTGATTCCCGGTCAAAGGTACATGCCTGGGTTGCAGGTTCGATCCCCTGCCCCAATCGGGGTCGTGTGGAGTTGCAACCGAACAATGTGTCTCTCTCACATCTCTCTCTCTCTCTCTCCCCGTTCCACTCTATCTAAAAATCAGTGGAAAAGTATCCTCAGATGAGGATTCACAGCAACAACAACAACAACACCACCTAATATTAGTCAAACTTGTCACTTCCAAATGCATTAAATTCTTATTTTTTCATGTTGTTAAATTTTTTCTTCAATGTAATTTTTAATGATTGCACAGCATTCTTTCTCTGTTGCATATTCATTATTCACATTCTTAGTTAATCTAAGATTTTGCATTCTTTTTACACATGACAATCTAAAAACTATAAATGCATTTCTGTTCTGAAATTGGTGTAAATATTGCCCAGTGGGACCCATAGCCCACCCTAATGTGGTTGAGTGACCAGTGGTGAATAAAGCTATGTGTATTTTTTTTTTTGTATGTGTGATCCAGCTTGAAGACCTTGCATAGAACTGACCTTTAGCCCTGCAGGCCTTCTGCAGCTTCTACCTCAATATTAGGCTGTCCCAGGGGAGTTTCCATATAAGCCTTTTGTTATCAATACACTTTAATCTTATCCTTGTACCAAGCCCACACAGTTATCATAATGAGAACTCTAACTCCTGGATATCACTGTGAACCATTTTTCCTTCACAGGTGTCAGGAAGTGCTGAGAAGTCTCTGCTGAGCAACGTGCAAGGGGAAAGGAAGCAGGATTTGGGACCACCGTTTGCTGTACTGGATGAAAAAATTCTTCTGAGTGGTTGAATAAGGTAAAGGAGCCTATATGTTCTTGAAGAGGGAGGGGTAGATCTTGAGTCATCCATTGCCTCAGAGATCTTGATGAAATCCTAAGTCTTCACCCCATTTTCTTCGTGTTGGATACCCATTTTGCTAAATTATTGCTTTGTACTTTGACAATATTGAGAAATAGGAACCCCAGTGTGGTAAAGATAGGACAGGGGGCTTGCTGGTATTAATTAGAGACTCATCACTGACCTTTCAGGATTGTGCTAGATGACCCGGGAACCATTAGGAAATGCACCATCCTTTAAAATGTGATTATTAGTTCATTTGCCTTCTGACACAGACAAATGTTTGCTTTAATGTTTGAAGTCAGATTTCAATTGTTATGAGAAATAAATAGTGCTAATGACTTCAAAAAGTACTACAATATGTTGGCAATAATTCTGGCAACAAAGTAAGAGTGGTGAAACCCATCGCTGAAATCAGAGTAAGTGGTGGAAACTCCAGTATTAACTCAAGTGCTACTATTGAGTTGTTCAGAAGGCCGGTAGTGGTAATCAGTCCCCAGAGTAAAACTGGGGGGGGAGGGGTATGATTTTGTACCATGTCTGTTACACAGGCTCCTACCACATGGTCACATTTACATATACAATTTCCCTGTAGTTGGTCTGGGGTGGGGAGGTCCAGCTGTCAGTCATCCATTATTCAACTGCCTTTTTTGTACAGAAGTTGTGTCTGCTAACAGAAAGGCTTATAGAAACCAAACCTTAGAGCAAGAACTATGAATACTGGGTTATAAGTTTGCTACTGAAACAATAGCTAATGACTAATAAATGTCTTTGGATCATCAAAGTTTCAGGGGCATGTCATAGATGTGCTTTCTGACTTCTGGGGGCTGTCAGTGAAACTCGGACTAAAATACAGAACAAATTTGTTCTGTCCTAAATTTGAAGTTGTTCCTGCTGCTGTTGTTGAAGGTGATCATGGTGGCGCCGTATGGACGAGGAAATCCTACCAACAACCAGGGCATTTGGGAAGATGTTTCAGTCTGTCTGTCTACTCCCAGTGAAGCCCTACTTCTGAAGTGTTTGCCGATAGACTGATTTTTAACCTCTGGTCCAGGGGTTGCAAAATAAAATGACTCTGAACACCAGGCAGTAACTTTGATGTACAAGACTCATGGGGTAGGAACTACGGCAGGCTGGAGAAGGCCTGCCCCATCCAAAGGGAACAGCACCTACTCAGTTTTGAAACTCTTGGCACATGGAAATGAGGGCTCAATGTTTCTGTATTTTATGAAGTATTTTGAAAGAAAATTTTAAGTTTCAAATTTGTAGATGTGGACTCTAGGGAAAAATTGTAAGATTCATTTTTTTATCTTGTCCATTAAGTCAAATTGAAACAAAAAATTATCTGGCTCATACCAAGCACAACTGTTGGTTGGCAATTTGCAACTCTGAGGGGTAGCAGCATCTTAGTTGCATATAATCACATGGGGGACAAGTCTTGAGATTCTAATCCCCTCTCTCTAAACCCTTCCTGATACATGGGTTAATAAAGTGGTTTCTCCAGTCCCCACCTGTGTCCCATAATCCTTTAATAGTAGTCTCATAGAAACTCTCTTTAAGGTCCTGGAAGAGCACAGAGTCTTTGCCATTTTGGAATCCCATGATGAGCTTCAACACCCTGAGCACTCATTATATTCCATGAACCAAACAAATTATCATTTGCGTTATCTCCTCTTATTTTTATAGGAACTCGATAAGATAGGTACTAAAATTATCATCATCATATTCCTATTTACAGATGGAGAAACTGAGGCTCATTGTCTGGGATTTCCCAAGTGCAGTTGCAGTAAGTGGCAGAAATAAGATTTAAATTCTGGAGTCAGACCTCAGAATTCAATTTTTAAGGACCATATTATATTTTCTCCTGTTTTGTTATATGACTTTTTGGCTTCTATAGTCTCTCTGAGTAATAATGACTTCTCCTTCTGAAATATCCTAAGGAATTTGTAAAGGCATTTTCTGCTTGTGTAGAACACAGGGGCATTTTTATTTTTATCCACATCCTTTGCTACAGGGTTGGCAAAATGTATGAGATCCTTCTTATCACTGAAAAGGGAAATTTTTTATTAACCCCTGGCTTGAGACCAGAGATGCCAGCTCCCTTTCCCATGCCATGTTCTTATCAGGTAGTATTTAAACCCTAATAAAGTTAGAACCTGCCGTTTAAAGGCCTAAGGTATGATTTTCACCTCCATGAGGACCAGATAACTTCACTTTGTCTATGACCACGGAGGAAAACCTAGACCTCAGTGAGCCTCCTCACAGGTGCAAACAATGTGGGTGGATCAGTCATCCTCAGAGCACACCATCACCATGAATGAAGGCAGGAATGATGAAGCCAAGGTACACAGATTTTCGCTTAGTTGCCAATGCCAAATGATGAGTAGTGGATGCCAGGAAGAATACTGTGCTGAGAAGGATTTGGAAACCCCTTCGGAACTTACCATAGAGTGCTGCAATTGATTGTTCTTGTCTGCTATGGGTTTGGGATATGGAACTAGTGGTGAGTGTGCTCTGTAGTTGGCTGGTATAGTCTGCTCATCGGAAAGAGCTAAGACATCTTGGGCAGCTTGAAACATATGCATTTTAATTTGTGATTCTGTATTTTTCTGCCTCTTTCATATTTCTTCTTCCATTTCTGTTTTTTTTTCTTAGGAGAAATGGCCAAGCGTACCTTCTCCACGTTAGAGACGCTCCTGATTTTCCTCCTTGTAATGATGACTGCCATCACAGTGGCCCTTCTCAGCCTCTTATTTATCACCAGTGGGACCATTGAAAATCACAAAGGCAAGTGTCATGGGCTCTCTTGGAGGCTATGCCTAGACCTGCAGGACATTTCTCAATTACTGCAGACACTATGGCAAGGAGTAGTACGTGTTGATCATGCTGATAACAGGGCAGTTCAATGTGTACTTAAGCTGCCTGGAATAACCACATAACCTTTACATGCAATTACTCTTTCTGCATTGATAGCAGTTTTTTTAATCAAGTTTACCTTTGCCCCCAAAGTGGACAGCATCTGACGTGCAGTTCTTTCTTTCTCACTTTTCCAGGGCTCAAAGCACAGTTCAGAATTCTTCGGGCCCCTGAGCTCTCCTCTCGCCCTTTGCCTCTTTTTGGCATCATCTTCTCCTGGGAGCAAAAGGAGAATGAAAGATCCACCGGGTCTCAGTCAGTCTTTAAAAAGCCCTAAAGAAAAGAGCCTTGAATTCAAGTCCTTAGGAAGGCCAATCAGACTCTGTACATGAGGTCAAGTGGGGAGGTGGACCAGGAGGGGGGGTGCTGCGATTTTGGTGAAGAGGGTCCACGGCCCCTCCTCAGTGCCAGCTGACTGTTTTTATGAGAACATGGACTCAATTCCCCCGAGTTTTCAAGAGAAGCTGGAAATCGATGTATTTAGAAATATCTTGATTTTTTTTTAGTGTTAAAAATGAATTTAGTTTTGGAAAACTATCTAAGCTATATTTACAGGCAATAATGGGCCCATGGGTCTTTGATTAAACCTTTACTTCAGTGTTAGGTTAGGTTATGCCTGTTACATGAGCAGAGAAGACAGTGACGATCGAATGCTTTAACCAAATAAAGGAGGGCTGGACTCAGGCCAGATGGAGAAGAGGGCAGATTTTCACTTCAGTGGTCTTTTCTCTTTTCCTGTCTAGTCTCTACCATGTCCCCATGCTTTGAATTCCCTGCAAACACAGAGTCCAGAGATCCTCTGTGCCAGGACTGGGCATAGCAGGGTCCTGGACTGCTAGAAATGAAAGGCTCTGTAGGGCTTATTTAGTTTTAGCTCTTAAAACAAAACTCAAGGAGGTTATCCATAATCACAGTAACCATTCTCATAGTGGAAGTTGCTGTTTATTGAAGGGTTACCTTGTGGTAAACACTGTTGTCAGGAGTCTACATACATTTCTCATTTACTTCTCATAAAGTTTCTATGAAGGTAGATGCTAGTCTTAGTACCATTTCACAGATACGGAAGCTGAGACTTTGAGATCACAAAGAGCTTGCGCTTGGCTATATGAGTTAAGTTTTGCTTTGGTCGGCACCCCATTTGTGTGATGGTATCAATAAAGCCATGGCAAAGGTTCCTGCTTCCTTTCTTGCAATACTTGATGTCTGGGAGAGAATATGAACTTGAGGAGGAGAAGACAGATTCTAACTCCATCTGGAATGTGGTTGGAAGTGCACTGAATTCTTGGTATGGGCACTGGATGAATCACATGCTCTCCATGAAATCTTGTTAAAAGTCATTCTCTGGGCGTTAGGATTCTCATACATAAAACTGAGGAGACTGGACTAGGTGATCTCAAGTTTCTTTGAGCTCCAAAATTCTCAAATCCCATAATTAGCTGTGCCTCTCTTGCCTAGGTACTTCCTGACCACCAATGTCTTTTGACACTGACATCTACTATCTTGGCATCCCCTGGCTGTGGTCTGTGTTAGAAACAAACCAGCAAGTACAATGGATATGTAAGATGTGTAAATATGTAAATAAAACCAAAGCTATAGGCCAACCATTGCTCTGCATTTCTAACATGCATGAACATATTTATTATTGAAAAACAACCCTAGGAAACAGGGTTTTATTATTATCTCTATTTTACAGATGAGAAAATTGGGGTGGCTGGCCTAAGTCATTTGTTCAGCTAGTAACTGGTAAAGTCAGTTTTCAAACCCAGGCTGTTTGTTTCTGGCACCTACCCTCTTAGTCTCAATGCATTCTGCCTCCCTGATATTTGTATGTAATGGTGACATGTATACTGATAAAGAACATAGTGTGGACTTATACATATGTGGTGATATGAGAACCATCAGCATAAGGCAGAACTATGTCAACAAGTATACAACGATCTGGGTTGCATTACGAATAAGTCTTTAGCGCTGGTCAGTGTGGCTTCGTGGATTGGGCATTGTCCCATGCATGGAAAGGTGGCTGGTTTAATTCTGGTTGGGGCACATGCCCGAGTTGTGGGCTCGATCCCCAGTTGGGGGTGTGCAGGAGGCAGTCAATCAATGCATCACTCTTACATAGATGTTTCTCTCTCTTTCCCTCCCACTTCCTTCCTTTCTCTCTAAAATCAATAAAAGAAATATTTTAAAAAATGTTCTTAAGAGAAAGACTACAAGTCTTGAGAAGGTTGAGGAGGATCAGAGCAGGGTAGAGACAGTTGGCACCGTGGAGATAAGGGTTTGAGCTGGATATGGGTGTGACGGAAATGAACCAGCTCTGAAGAAGGTAGTGGAGATTGGTTGGCAGAGTAGATAGGAGTAAGGGCTCTGAAAGGAGAGAATGGCAGAAACTTTTCCCCAGAGGCTGGGTTCAGTAGGTTGTGTGCCAGGAACCTGGCCCCTGGTTCGTTGGGTTGGTGTAGAATGCACAGTGAGTGAATGAAGGAAGACGAGTTTGACAAGGAATGGCTTGTGAGGGGAAGCTGAAGGACATTTGATGGAGACCTTGATTATTTGGTTGAAACATGTCCAGTAAAAAAAAAAAAAAAAAAAAAAGGTCATCCTTAAGATTGATATAAAATAAGTTCCTGAGATGTTTTTCCTTATATCTCACACATAAGAGAATAAACAGAGATTTTTCCTTTGGAACCTGAACTTATGTGCCCTAATTGATGCTGACAAATAAGTGGGCTGCATTGTTGTTTCTCAAATATTCTACTTTTGTTTTTTAAAATTGTATCTATTTGTTTATTTTATTGACTTTATTGTGGTGACATTCGTTAATAAAATTATATAGGTTTCAGGCATACAATTCTACAATACATCACCTATATATTGTATTGTGTATTCATCACCCCAATTCAAGTCTCAATTATCTTATTCTATTTTTAGATTCGGGTTTTCCAGGCACAGAGAGCCCTCCGGCCACCCAGAGCTCCACAACCCCTCAAGTCTCAACAGTCACCAAAGACCCCACCACCACCCGGGTGTCTCCAGTGACTAGCACCCCAGAGCCTCCTCTGTTTCAGAACTTCAGTGGCTACCACATTGGTGTTGGGCGAGCTGACTGCACAGGACAAGTAGCAGATATCAACTTGGTAGGTGAATCATAGGCTCCTCAAAGAGACTATGAAATCAATAATTTTATTATTTTTAATCCTGCATTTATTTCTGATTATTATAGCATCAGCTCTTGCTTTTCTATTGACTTCACTGCTATATAATGCTATGAATATTGTCCTATAAGGAAGAGGGGATCATTTATTCAACCACAACTCCCTGTAAAGACAGTCGGCTGCTTTATATGAAATGACAGGGCTGGGAAACTGAAATACTACAGAGGATGGGCAGGTATGTTAAGTGACTGAAGCAGGCCAGCATAAGGCAGTAAACATCTGGTGATACTCAGGTTGGAGTCAGTAGGAAGTTGTGGGGACTGTGGTGCAACTAGAAAGTACATGGCCCTCGCTGATTGCTGCCATGTGAGAACGTGGACCCAGGGTTGCTATCCTGACAGTTTTATCAAGAGAAGCCAGAAAAATCTCTGGATTGAAGATCTGAGGATTTAAATTCCTCAACTGGAAAATGTAGGCAACTCTACTTAGTTAAAACTGAAAACCTAGGATGGGCCAACAGTATACAGTGATACCTCGGTTCTCGAACGCCTCGGATTTCGACCAAATCGGTATTCGACCAGGAGATTCGAGAAACTTTTGTCTTGGAATCCGAACAAATATTTGGAACTCGAACTTCCGAGATGAGCCGAGTTGAGCCGAATGGCGTTCATTCGGCCCAGCGCGCCTTGCTCGCGTCATCAGTGTGAGTGCAGAGAGAGAGTCACGCTTTGTGGAGAGAGTCACGCTTTACACTGAATTTAACCCTTAGACATACTGTACACTTTTATTTCTTGTTGAGACTTATGTTTTTCTACATATTATATACAAATTAGGCCAGTAAATAGGCATTTTCTGGGGCTTGGAATGAATTAATCCAGTTTCCATTATTTCCTATTGGGTTTCATTGCTTCGGTTCTCGAACAATTTGGTTCTCGACCGTCCTCCTGGAACGAATTATGTTCGAGAACCGAGGTATCACTGTATTAGCCGAGTAAAATCCTTCGGTGTGTTAGGTATGGCCTGTCGGCTGCTAACATAAAACTTCTTGACTCTGATGTTGGTAATACCATTTATATCACCTTTCCCTCTGAAACCAGAGCATCAGGTAGTCTGATGGGATTGTCTCCCTCCTACCAAGTAATCTTTAGATTCAAGGAATTATAGTTGACCCTTGAACAATGTGAGTGTTAGGGGCACCAACCCAAGCACAGTGGAAAATTCATGTATAACTTTCGACTCCCCCAAAATTTAACTACAGTTGGCCCTTCGCATCTACAGATTCAACAAACCATAGATTGAAAACAGTATTTTTTTAAAAAAATATGTTTTTATTGATTTTTTTGGAGAGAGAGAAACATTGATGTAAGAGAGAAACATTGATCGGCTGCCTCCTACACGCCCCCTACCAGGGATTGAGCCTACAGCCCAGACATGTGCCCTGACCAGGAATCAAACCGGGACCTCTCAATCCATGGGATGACTCCCAAGCTACTGAGCCACACTTGGGAATGTAAAGAAACTGTTTCAATCTGTGGTTGGTTGAATCCAAGGATGTGAAACCCGGGGGTCTGAAGGGCTGACTGTATTTACTAAAACAAATTCATGCACAAGTGGACGTGCGCAGCGTAAACCTGTGTAGTTCAAGGATCGCTGGACTCCCTGCTGCCTGTTCTGGAAACTGACTCTGGAGTGTAACCCTAAACAAACTCCGCATGGGGGTAAAGCAAGCAGTAGACAGAGCGTTCTGAAGGCCTGGGTAGATTTATGACGTGGTGAGAGAGGAGGTGGGGACAGGTCTGACTTGGCTTAGGGAGGGACAACAGGGTTAGGGACCCTCAGTAAAGATTCCTTAATTGTAAATACAGCATTTTCTTCAGGTAAAAAACTCCAACACCCAAAACGCACACATCAGCAACCCAAGTGAGGGAGCCATGGATTTCAGGTTGTTCCTGGGCAAAGTGGTGGTGGAAGGGGACCCATTGCCTTGTGCGGTACTTTAGGCAAGAGAACAGGTTTTATTTCCAAAGGCAGAGGGCCCGGGAAAGGTCTCCAGGGCAGTAGGAACATCCTGGGCGCACCAGCTCCCTCCTGGCCCGCAGGCGTACCCAGCGTTGCCCTCACGGTGTTCTGTGCAGAGCGGCAAAGCCTCTTCTCTCTGTTGGCTTTATTCTTGAAAACATGTATTATCTCACGCGGAGCTTTCTGCGTCGTGTGCGGATCGTTTTGCTAAGTAGGCTTTTCCTCCGCGGGTGAGCCTGCTTTCCGTGGGGCGGGGAGACGGAGTGGCTCTGATTCTCTCTCTCCCCCCAGATGGGCTACGGCAAAAGCGGCCAGAACGCCCGGGGGCTCCTCACCAGGCTGTACAGTCGCGCTTTCGTGCTGGCGGAGCCCGACGGCTCCCATCGAATGGCCTTTGTCAGCATCGACATAGGCATGGTGTCCCAACGGATGAGGCTGGAGGTGAGTGATGGTGTGAGAAAGAAATGCCATGATGTCCAAGAGAAGTCTGTGGGCAATTGTGACAGTAGCTAAGCCCTCCTGGAGAGAATGGGAGGGGAAGGGAGGGAGGAAGAGTGTGGCAGACGGGCTTCCTGGTCTGTCTCTCTATGCCAATGTCTATGCCCCCGCCCAGCTCTGTTTCCTGCCTCAGATCAGGTCCCAGAAAGAGAATGTGCTCTCTAAAGTCTGCTTGTACATTCATGAGCGAGAAAGGGGAGACTGGAGCACCCAGAACAGTGACCATTACACGTCCGGTGTTCAGTGTCGTGCTCTATCCGTCTCACCTTTGAAACGCGTTGTCCCTCCACTGTGGGAAGGGTCTAGTGAGGGGTGACTGGAATGCCTAAAAGCATTTCTCCAACACCACTCTCGCTTGGGGAATGGAATGGAAGCCTCTTCCATGGATGGAAACATGAGGAGAAGGGATTAAGTATGTTCTCCACCCCTAAACTAAGGTAGGTCTGTTGTTACTCCCATTTTATTGATAAGGAAACTGAGTCTTTTTTTATTTTATTTTTTGGTACGTGTCCTTGGTGAGAACCGAACCCAGGACTCTCTGGTCCACAGGCCAATGCTCCTACCGCTGAGCCAAATCGGCCAGGGCAGGAAACTGAGTCTTAAAGAGGGTAATTAACTTCCCTAAATTCACACAGTTGGGAAATGGTGAAGCTTGGTTCTTAACACATATATACCTGAGCCCAGAGCATACATTCTTAAAAGTGACTTTATTCTTTTACCTTAGAGGGAAATGCATTGATAACCTGAAATGACTAGGGACATTGCTAGTCATTGCAGGGTACACACAGCTGAGTGAGGCATAATCCATGTTCCCTACCTAGTTGCGGAATAGAAGAAAGGTCTGTAACAGAAATACACAAATAACCAATTCACTGGAATACAGTACAGTGGTGTGTTCGTTATCTATGACAGAGTAACAAGTAGCTTGAAAGTATCGTGGCTTCTATACGTTCATTATCTTACACATTCTATGGGTCAGGAATCCAGGGGTGCCTAGCTAAGGGATTCTTGCTTAGAGTATCTTGAAATCAGGATGTTGGCAATCATTCCTCGGCTAGACGGGCTGGAAGATCCACTTCCAAGAAGATTCACTCCTGTGGCTGCTGGCGGGAGGCCTCACTTCCCACTGTCCCTATCCTGATGACAGAGCAGCTGACGTTCCTGAGTGAACAGTTCCAGCGAAAGCAGGGACGAGCCACGGTGCCTTTCACGACCCAGGCTCGAGAGTTTCACACCATCGCTTTCACTCTGTTCTGTTCATTGGAAGCAAGTCACTAAGCCCATTGCACACTCAGGCGTAGCAAAGTCAAGTGTCATCTCTTGAAGGCAGGAGTGTTACAGAATTTGTGGACATACAGTGTTTTAAAACCACCACATGGAGATTCCGGAAATGGGAATTAGGGGAACCTTTCAAAGTGGAAGTGATACTTGAATGGGCAGAATTTTAAATGGTTCACATGTGAAATGGAGAGGACAGTGTGAACACAGAGAGGCTCAAGGGAGGGATGTGGACTCTTCTCTGAAGGGACAGAGGTTAGTTCTACTAGGACACATGTGAGCATGTCATTGGAGATGTACCTGGAAGGTGTGTTGTTTATAGTTGTAGAGGCCCTGGGTGCCTGTTTTTTTTTTTTTTTTAATTCTGTAGTTCAGATAGTGATATTTGAGGTGGATGGAAATAGACTAGAACTACAGGAGAGGGCTCAAATGGGCAGATTCTTTAAATTAATGTCAAGGCTCTATTGGTGAAGGTCTAGCTGGGAAACAGTAATCACACTAGACATTTCAAACAGGGGGGATTTAATACAGGGGAGTTTTACAAGGTGTTGAGAGGCTGGAAGAGCTATAAAGGGAAGCTACGGTTGCAGGAAGGATTTTAACTGCCTGATGACATCCCTACATTATGTGAGGCTGGCACAAAAGTCCTAAACCATTGGGGTGCCAGTGAGAATACATGGTGGTAAGAGGTCAAAATGAGTGCTAATGAGATTTGGGAACAAATAGACATAAAAGCTAACACTTAACATAGTTCCCATGATGAGTCAGGTACTGTTCTATATTTAAATTAATATATATGTTCATATATATTGATTAGCTTAGTCCTCCTAACATGAGGGAGATACTGTTATTATGCCATTTGACAGATTGGGAAACCAAGTTGCAGAGGATCAAGCAACTTGTCCAAGGTCACACAGTTAGGAACTGCCCAAGCTGGGATTCATACATAGGCGTCTTGGGCCAGGGCTCATGCTCATTACCACCGCTCATACTGTCTTCTGAAGAACTGAAGATGGTTCTGATTGGAAGATAGTGGTGTCAGTAGTAGAAACAGGAGAGGCAAAAGGTACACGTTGAGGGTGGAGTGTGGAGGGGAGAAGGGTTTAATGTGTTGGGTTGTAGACTCTATCAAGTCAATAGTGCGCACCTTTTAATCATCTCTTCCTATTTTTACTTCTGAGTTCATTTAAAGGCTTTCCTGCTGGGCCCCGTGCAATCTGAGGCCCAGCAGGAAGGCCTTAAATGAACCCACTTAGTTATCCTGTTCACCCAAGGAAAGGTGTGAAAAATAAATGTAGCTACACCAGTGCCAGTAAGCTTACTTCTCACACCTGGTTTTAGGCAGGTTCCCAGTCTCAGCTTTAAGACTGATGAAATCTCCCGTACGGAATGAACATTAAGGATGATCTCTAAGCAGAGGGGCAGGGCAGGAAAACAGAATGCCTTTCCTACTCTCCCTATGTCATGTGCCCAAGAATATCTGCAACAGGAAATGGGGTGGAAACGAAGTCAGAGAAGTGAGCTGTAGACGTTCGTGTGAATTCCTTGTTCGATGTTAAAGTTCCCCTCCTTTCAGAAAGTAGAAAACACACTCTTTATAGTGACTATTTGTAGGCATTGCCATCTGAGGATTGAGTTTTTAATTTATTTTTTTCTTTTCCTTGAAAGTGTCTGATTTTATATCAGGAATTGTAGTTTAGGATAAGATTTCTGTGAGCTGTTTGTAGTCTCTTTGTTTTATAACTCAATACTCATAATTTCTATCTTTTTAAAAGCGTGATTCTTTTTTTTTTTCTTTTATCCTCACTCAATGACATTTTTGCATTTATCTTCAGATAGAGCGGGAGGGAGGGAGGGAGGAAGAGAGAGACAGAGAAACATCGACGCGAGAGAGACCTCAACTGGCTGCCACCCACACAACCCCAACCGGGCCGGGGACAAACTGCAACGGAGGTACGTGCTCCCAGCGGGAACCGAACCCGGGACTCTCTGGTCTGCGAGCCAACGCTCTAACCCCTGAGCCAAACTGGCCAGGGCAAAAGCTTGATTCTTGAATAAAACTGAAGAAATATATGTAATTCTAAAATCCTAACATCCTCGTTGTTTTAGGAATAAAATGGGGGAAGGGGAGGGGAGCTTTCCAGCTGACTGGCAGTTCTTTGTTCACTTCCTTCTTATCTTGGCCACAGAATCGTAAGAACATTTGACCTTAGTTCATGCTGTCCTTTCACTGATTGTCCACCCTTCCCCTTATGGATATTTCTTCTTCGTGCACGGAAGAATGTGTAAAGTGATGAAGATTTGAGGCTGGAGTTAGGATCAAACAGAAGGAACATGGAAACTTATTGGGTAGAGAATGTGGGTTACTTGGTCAGGAGGTATTGAGTTCTTCATTTTGGGAAGTGAGGCAGTAAAGAGGACTTTGCACTGTCAGTTCACTGTCCCACCGTGCCCCCCCTCCCCCAGGTTTTGCATGACCAGATTGCTCTGTTCCTTTAAGGCAAGGGTAACCTTTTTGGAAAGATCTGTTCTCACTGACCCATCACCCTCTTTTTCCTTACCTGGCACTATTTTGCTTCATAGCATTTATCACTATATAATAAATGTTCCATATTGATTGATTTGTCCATTATCTTTCTCTCTCACTCGAATAAAAACTTCTTCAGAGTTGGAACCTCATATGTTCCTAGTGCTTAGCCCAGTGCCTGGAGATTAATGCTATGTGTTGTAAGATGAATGGATAAGAGCACTGATTTAGTTAGAGAGACTTGGATCTGTGCTAGTTATTAGATCAGCGGGCAAATTGTTTAACTTCTGTACACTTCAATGTTATCACCTAAAAGACAGGGCTGAAAATACATGCTTCTTGAAGTTATTGTAATTTTTAAATGACATAATATATGTACTACCTAGTGTTGTGTGTGCTTGCACATCACAAGAATCTATAAAATGTTGGCATTTGCTATTACTGTTGTTGTTATTACCACGGTGATGTACTGGAATTATATATACCCTATAAACTATTCATGTACTATAGAAGTACTGTGATGATATACAGAGCGAAGAGCCACTCTGTAGGGAAGTCATGGGTATGGATCAGTGATTGGGCTAATTAGAGCCTTTTCTCATACTAAGCTCTATGTGATTGTTCTTCTTACCTCTGTTTTTTTCTTTCTTTCTGGAAGGTCCTGAAAAGACTGAAGAGTAAATATGGCTCCCTGTATAGAAGAGACAATGTTATCCTGAGCGGTACTCACACACACTCGGCTCCTGCAGGATATTTCCAGTACACCGTGTTCGTGATAGCCAGCGAAGGATTTAGCAATCGCACTTTTGAGTACATGGTCACTGGCATCGTGAAGGTAGGCAGGGAACCCCGAGGCAGCTGTTCTCTCCCACTGCTCGGTGTTTTAGGAGTGTGCTATGGAGCCAGTCCCCAATGGCTCTTGGTCTGAGCTCCGTCTTCGTACCTTCCTCCCTTCCACTTCCTGCCTCCGTGGTGGCTTCTGGTCCTGAGTGGTGGGCTGTGAGCCCGAGGTGCCGACTGGGAGGAGGGTTCTATGGCAGTAAGCCTCACTCAGTCACCGAAAGAGAAAGAAAACAGTGTGGATCTGACCCGTACAAAGTATGGGGCCCCCATGGTCTGTTCTTGCACAACGTCCCACGAAAAGATACCAACTCATTAAGGAACCAAAATTAATTACAGATAATTGCAATCTTTCCTTGTATTTCCCAGAATTTCCTTGTATTTCTCAAAGACCATATAAGAAGATCCAATGGACACACTCCTCATTTCTCAAGGCCTACAACAGCTCTGCACTGACCCGGCATTCCTGCAGGGACTCTGAGCTTTTCTCCCTCATGGCTGGAGTGTCCCTTTGTGCTCCTCTCTCTCCTGTCTTCCAGCTTATTATCTTCTTGCACCGGATCCTTGCTAATATTTTCTTATTCTTTTGCCTTTCAGGTTTAGTCTCTCTCTACTTTATGTTGTAAAGTCACCCCCCACCCCCAAATCCAGGGATCCAGCTGGCAAAGGCAGAAATTCCTTTGCAACACTTTCAAATGGTAGCTAGCACTCTATCAATAGCTTTATGAAATCAATTTCATGGGTTGCAATAGGCATGAAAAAAAACTAAAATAAAAAAATTGGAAAGCATCATAGTACATAACACACATTGTGAACTTTCTTTTAAAATATGTATGTTGATGTGTATTAAGTTATGAAGGAGACTGCATTGCTTACTGTGCTTCTCAGAGTTTGAAAGACTCTGTCTTAGAGGGTGGTGGGATGGAGAAGGGAGGAGGGTGGAGATACCTATATGTTAACAAATCCTGTCCCGGTGTTGTGGGACTCCAGCCCCCCATTTGGAGATGGCAGACATGCTGACTCAGCATTCAGGTGCTGATCAGCACGTGCTTCTCTCTCTACTCAGCACTTTTTCTGTCTCAGCGCTGAAGGCCATGGCTGTTACCTCTGACACCAGCCGTGTGGTTCTCCAGCTTTCATCCCGTAGTGGGAACAGGTTGGAGACCAAGGAAACTGTGCACAGGTCTCTTCTGTTTATAGTGACTAAGTCATTATCCCCAACAGGATTTCTCACTTTACAACTCTTTTTTTTTAAACCTGCAGAGCATTGAGATAGCACACAGAAATTTGAAACCAGGAAAAGTCTTTATCAATAAAGGAAATGTGGATGGTGTGCAGCTCAACCGAAGCCCTTCTTCTTACCTTCAGAATCCACCGTCAGAGAGAGCAAGGTGAGCCCTCCCCAAGACGAAATCATGAGTTCCCTTTAGGAAACAGCAGCACCATCTAAGAACAAGGCTGTTACTTGAGGAATAGGGTGGGGCCCTAAACAAGTATTAGAGCTAAAGTAATTTAAAAGCATGTTTATAATCTAAGACAAGCAGAAATAAAAGTCAACTTAGAAACACACCAACCTACGCATGTGTCTTCCCACTTGGAGGGTTGTGGGAGCCACTATGGATATTTGAAGGGCTCCAGGCTGTGGAATCCGCCAGAACTGTGGTCTTACTCTCGCTTTATCACTTCTTAGTTGAGTGACCTTTAGGATATATATGGTGATGATGACAAGTGATTTACTTATCTTAATTTATTGGCTCTCAGTTTCTTGATCTGTAAAATGGAGATAAAAGTGTGCATAACAAGTATTTGTTAATGAGTAGCTCTTTTTATTATGTTACTCAGAAGAAAATCATCTTAGTCCAAGAGAATATGGAAAAAGAGAAGAGATAATTGAATAAAAATACTGGGAGAACAAGAAATAAAACTAGAATAATTGAATGAAACAACTAAGGAAGATGATTTCTTCATCATTTTTTTTTTTTTTTTTCAAGTGATAAGCCAGGTTTGCAACAGAAGAGGTGTACTTGGCTACTATAGCAATGTAAAATAATATCAGTTCAACTTGACCACTTGACATTTTGCATTTGTGTGCATAGTTTTCAATAGCTTTCAAAGAGTTTATTTTATTTTTTTGGAAAATATAATCTGCTGCCCCTTTAAAGGACAAAAAAGACCATTTTTAAGTCGCAGTCCCTGAGTGCTTATGATTTTGCATATTTTCTGCTATTTTTAAGAGGTCCATTAAAATACGATATGAGTAGAAATTTCAAAGAGAAATCCTTTTTGTAAAAATACATAATTTATAATATCATGTATATTACATAAAAATATATATATTGCATCTCCAGCTAGCCAGCCGAATGCCCCTAGCTCTGATCACAGTTGCAAAGCATTTCTTTAGCTGAGGCGTGAGGTCCCGAGTGCCGTTCACGGGATGACAGCCTGCCAAGGAGCCTGCGTACCGAGAGGCACGTTGGGTTTTGTTTCTGTGCCAGCTTCTGCTCTTTGTCATACGTGGTGCCCAGGCTCTAACATCCAACGGACTAAGTTTCTTTGTTTTGGTGACTAGGTATTCTTCCAATACAGACAAGGAAATGATAGTCTTGAAGATGGTGGATTTGAATGGAGATGACCTGGGCCTTATCAGGTACCCTTTCCTTTTTTTCATTCTGTCTGGATAATTTTACTTAATTACAAGGGTGGGCGTGAGGAAGAGACTGGAATAGTGAGCGTGGAGGCTGAGAATATGCTGAGTGGTTCAGGGACCAGACTGAGACATCAGACACGTCTGAGCTCCAGCCGTGGGCTGTGGGGCAGGTCTCAGCCTCTCGGGGCTTAGATCTTTCACCTGTAAAACAGGGCTAATGAAAGGAGCATGTAGATGAGGACCTGGTATTTGATAGGAACACTCAGTAAATGTTAGTGCTTATAACTATATCAAGGTCTTGTGTGTGGAATTTCTGTGATGGTGGACAATGATCTCTTGGTAAAATGGAAAAAAAAACAAAAACAAAAACAACAATAATCTGACCAGCCAGGGAAATGAATACAGACTTGAGATTATGAACTTGAAAGGCTCAAGTGAAATCTAAGTAGGACAGTGCTACTTCGTGATGAAAGCAGAACGGAGACCACCTAAAGGAAGCAGATGATGTAAAATCACAGCTTGGCAGCACTGGTTTTAGCACCTTTTTATTTTATTTTTATTTATTTATTTTTGGTACATGCTCCTAGCGGGAACCGAACCCCGGACTCTCTGGTCTGCAGGCTGACACTCCAACCGCTGAGCCAAACCGGCCAGGGCTCTAGCACCTTTTTATAAACAAGAAAACATGGGGATTTTTATTGTCTTCAAAAAAGAAGGCATTCACATTCTTAGGAGACTTTGGTCACTGCAACTGGACTGACTCGGGGTGGGTAGCAAGACCAGACACTTTGATGGGTAAGCTTCCAAATGATGTGGAAATGCCCTAAGAAAGTGTATGTTAGCACTTGGGTGCTGGAGTCGAATGGCTGGGGCCCACTCTGGGCTCTCATCCGTATTTGCTCTGTCAATTAGGTCAAGCTATGAAACTGCTCTGTGTCTCAGTTTTCTTATCTCTAAAATTGAGAGGTAAAGTGCGCCCTTAAAAATGTTGATAATAAGTGTTAGGAAAGTGGTAGGGTTCTGCCAGGTGGAATTATGAACTATTTAAATGAAAGTTGCCATGTGACTAAAATGAACGATACATGGAAAGTAATAAGGGGTGAAGATAAACATTAAAGTCTGTGACCCAGAGTTGACATACAGGGCTATCTCGGTAACCAGGTAGAGAACAGCATGGTGGTAAGGGGTTCAGGTTTTTGGTATATGTTTTAAGACTTGGGTTCAAATCCCAGCCCTGCCACCTGTGAACCCTGTGTGTCTGGGAAAAGTAACTTATTAACTCACACCTCCACTATTCTTTCTGAAAATTGGAATATTAAGAATTCATAGGGTTGTTTGACGATTACCTGAGATAATGCCTGCAAAGCTCTAGTCTGATGCCTGGCACAGAAAAAAAGTTTAATAATTTCAGCCAAGAGGTAAGAAATAGAGTAATATCCTGCCTCTTCTAAAAACTTCATTATTGGCATTTGAGAGTGCTTAGAATTCTTTGCATTGGAGTTACTTCTTTGGGTTGAAAGTGAGGACACTAAAAACTCTCTGATAAAATAAACTTTATTATATGGATTGATGTAATAGAACTCATTTTTTATTACAATAAATGTATTTACTAATTAGTTGTTACCTAGCATTTAATTAAATAAACTTCCAAAATATCAGGTATGCAACTGTGTGGTTGGAGTGTGTAATAATGAATAAGTCATGATCCTTATTTATCTTCAAGGGTCTCATAGACTAGCTGGGTGATTGAGTCAGGAGGCAGGAATAACCTTCCATTGTTTCTGTAGCCATGTGTTGTCCTGGATATAACTTCTCCTTCAGTTGCGTATTGAAAGTTACTCCCTGAATACATTAAAAATGATCTAAAAAGTAAAGTAAAATCTAGGCTGATGAGGAACTCAGCAAACACGTGGGTGCCTGCTGTTAGAACCCGAAGTAGAAGGAATTTGGAAGCACAGCATCTCGGATTTGCAGAGCACAGAGATAATCTAGTTCAGACTTCAGCTAAGGCCAGAAAGAGGATGTGACCTGCCCAGGGCCACAGCCAAGACTATTTTCTTTACACTGAAGACAATATCAAAGTTCATAATTTACTCCTTCCTACTTCCACTTTCGTTTTCATTTCTTTGTCCAACAACTCTGCACTAGACACCTACTATGTGCCATACAACACTTCTCAGTCCTTGGAATGATGCATTTCCTGGTCTTGAAATCAGAAATCAGATACCTTGGAATCAAATACTTGTGTTCTGTGCTCCTTAAGCAAATCCCTTAAACTCTGTGAGACTCAGGTTCTACATTTATCAAATGTAGATTTAACATCTCTCTACACAGAGATTATTCTTTCATTCATTCAGTATTGTGGAATATGTGTGTCATGAACTGAGTTACTACTTATTATATATACACTGATGAGCAAACATAGATGTAGTTGCTACTTTTACAGAACTGACAGTCTACTGGTTGAGACAAAAAATACACAAATAATCATGCAAACATATGTATAATTATAATTGGATTAAGTGCTAAGAAAGGAAGGTAGACAGAGCTATCTTAAAGAGATTTGACCTGGTCAGGGAGTCTGGGGAAGGCTTCCCTGAGGAAGTGACAATAGTGATAAACACTGAAGGAAGGGAAGGAATTAACTGTCAAAATGGGGAGTGGAAAAGAACTTTTAACAAAGATGGACAAGTGTGTGCAAAACTCCTGTGGCCCATTTGACGAACGGATAAAAGGTTTGCATGGCTGAAGTGCAAAGGATTTTGTAAGATAAAGTTAGAGGTAGAGATTAGATACTATGATAAAAATTTGGGTCTTTACAATCAAGGGGAATAGAAAACCATTAAAGTGCATTAAGCTGGGGTTGGGAGTTGAGGGCTCTTTAAGGGTTGGGAAGAGTGATGATGACTTGAGGAATGAAGTCGAACCATGTCCATGAAACTATTCCATAGACCATTAAGTCCTCTACAAACGCGAGGCCGCTATTTGCTCCAGTCGATCGAAAGGGAGGATTTGTATCTTTTTGCCTGATACTGCCTTATGCGGAAACAGCAAATGCGTGTTCTCCAGATGTGGAGAACGTGTTCGGAGGGTTTTGAATTCTGAATGAAAATGTAAACGGTGTGGCATTTACAAGATTCACGGGGAGAGATTCTGGAAGGCAGGTGAAGAAGGGATCTGTCATCCCGCGGAGAAGACGAAACAGAGTCTCAAGAGCTCCTGATGTAGGAAGGCCGCAGGTGAGGGAAGACAGGGGACAGGAGCAAACAGCGGGTTCGATGTCTGCATCGAAAGGAAAGCCCTCGGGCAGATCATCCGAGTGGCTCTGCCTCAAGCAGCCACCTCGTGCAGGTGGCCCATTTCCCCAGCTGCCATTCTGCGGGCCAGACTCTGTCTTATTCCCCTTTCCTTCCTTTGTTTCTTTGCTTCTGCCAAGCTTTCTCCCTTGAGTTTGCAGGAGTGGCATGGGCTCTTTTTGAACCTCTGTCGGCCCTCTAGCAGTTGGCATGATGTGGCTTCTCATCCTTGGAGCTGTAAGGAAGGTCTGAGCAGGTGTTTGCATAATTGCTTCATTACCTTCTGTTTCATGCACTGAAAATCCTTCATTCTTACAGAAAGGGCCATGGAAGGGGGCCCTTCAAAGGCACAGTTTAAAAAACAACAGGGACAGTGATTTGTGTAACCTACTTGAGTACTTTGTGTACCCACTTGGAAAAATTCAACTTATCGAATTACACTAATTTATTTGAATGATATTGGCTTATAGAATTTAGTCGTGTGTGTGTGTGTGTGTGTGTGTGTGTGTGTAAATCTTCTCTACCATCCAGACTGTGACTTCTTGAATTATACTGTCCCACTGTTGGTTCCCTGTGGCTCTTTCTTCTACCCTCTACATTCCGCCCTCGGTCTACTTACCCCACTCAGAGTGCAGATGGGGAGACTCAGTGACTGCCTTTCAGTCCCCCTTCTTGAGCTCTTCTGTTTCCTCCATCTCGTCTTTGTCTTCATCCCTTCCCCACGAGCATTAGCTGGTTTGTGAAGCCCTAGCCTCTGTTCACATCCTCACGGAATGTCTCTTTCCTGCTCTGCCCTCTGCGCTGTGCGGAAGGTCGCGCTGTCTCCTGCTCCGCCTGTCCTATCAGCCTGTCGTGAAGTTGCCCCCAGGGCAGCAGAGGTGGCCGTGGCTGACCAGTGGGCTTCCACGCAGCGTCTGATAGCGTCCTGCACACTGAAGGTGCCCGGCGAGGGCTTGTTGGTAACAAGAGTGACAGATGAATCATGCTAGTTAATTTAATGTGGCCCACGTTGAGAAACCAGAGCCATAAACACCAGTTGTCATAACTGGCAGAAGACATCGGACTTACTTGATGGTTGGATTTCTGGAAAATTCTTAATCCAAAGACATTTAGAAGGTTGTTGTTGGTTTTTTTCCCCAAGGTTTTTTTCCCCCAGTCTAAAAATAATATGTACTCACCCGTGAAAACTTGAAAAATAAAGGAAAGTAGAAAGAAAGAAAAATTAACTTAGTTATACCTCATCGAGTCAGCCCTAGTTAACACTCAGGTACATTTCCTTCTGCCCACTTCTGTGTGGGGACGTCCGATATGGAATGAGTGCGGCTGCGAGGTTCGTCTGGAAGTGGGTGCCTGCTTGCTCTCTCTGACTCTGGGCTCTAGAAGCTTTAAACTACTGTGAACAATAGTGCTGATATTTCTCCATGTACTGAGACTATCAAGTGGTTTTATTTTGGTAGTGACTCTATATCAAAACATGATTTTTTTTTCTTTTGGTCTCAAAGTCTATGCACTCTCATGTCAATTCTCTTCAGGTAAGAATTTGCCATGTCTATTTTTCTATTATTTCTTTCACTTTGCTTTGTTCTTACATTTTGAGGTGTCTCTTATGAATATTGGGTAACTTTGTTTTCACTCTGACAATCTTGGTCTTTTAATGAGTCAGTTGAGTCTCAAGAATTATGATTACTATATGTCTGGATTTTT